CTCCTAAATCACTCGTACGCACAACTTAAGAACAAATCTGTGCGTACGAACGGTTCTTGCATGAGGCCCATTAACTTCTGCCAGTCATATGGTGAATAAGTTGTTCTGCAGGGTTCATATATTTATAAATCTGATTCTGATGAACTGAGTGCCTCACCATCCATGAACCTCACTGCATGTCACTGCATGGACCTGTCCCAATGTTTTTAAGGAGTGTTGCCGTTATCACATTCAAAATTATTCTTTAAAAAGGTTGTACAATTTCATCAGGTTTTCTTTACATTGTACAGAATGTCAAAAAAAATTTTGGAATTTGAGTAGTACAATATATTTACATAGAATATATTATAAATAGCATTTAGTAAAAATTATGTTTCTAATATAGCAAATTGCATCAAATCTTCACTTTGTTACATTCTGCCTTCCTGAACAAGTACATTGGTGACAGTGGAAAGGAATGACTCTCCTTGAACAAGAAGCTTCCAGCAGAACAAAAAAGAGGGTCCAGGATTAGTCTCTGTCAACTTCAACCAGCAAGGGTCTGAGAGTAAAAAACAAAACATTAATTTAACAACAATTATTATTATTAACGATTATTCCTGCTCAAGGAACAGGTGTGATGATACTTAACAATTCAGGATGTTTTGCATTAAAGTGCACCTTCTGCTGGGTTTGACATCAGGGGCCTTTCGGGAAAAAAATGATTTCAGGTTGGGTTTGTTACACAGAGCAGGTGGTGGACACATGCTGCTGAAAGCCTCCGATGTTCACATTCCTTTTTATGACTACATCTCTATCATCAAAGGACCTTTCATAAATTTAGGAGAATTTTTTTTGCAACAGGAAAAACCTAAATGGGAAGGAGCCAAAGGAAGGCCTCCTATCAAATTTCTGTTCTTCATCCTTTGTAGAATGTAAAATCTGTCACAGTGAATAATGCAGATTTTTTTGTATCTTGACAAAACTGAATATAGGTGAAAAGTAAAACAATTCAAGAAGAAGGTAAGACAAAGACATACCTTCTCAAGACCCTCTCCTCTCTTTTTAACAAGAGCAAGAAGATGGATGTCTGAGTGGAGAGAGATGGTGAGGAATGTCGAGAAAAGGTTAGGACCACACAAAACCTGTGCACAGCTCAGGCTTGGTCTGAATCTCCAGAGACCCTTAAGGCACACATTGAGGTAATACAAACCATCTGCAGGAGGCTGAGCTGAAAAGGGCCCCTCCATTTTAGGACTCTATAAAACTGGTTTGAAAGTTTTTGGTTGGGATATTTACACACACCAAGCTGAAACCCAATATTATTTGAATATTGTATTTTAGAAGATATTATAAAGTCATGCAAGAAGCCACTGAAACTCAGCAAGGTTTGGTGACTCGGCGAGCGAGCAATCAGTAACTGAACTGAATTGTTTTGACTATTCCAGCTTGCTTTTTGGGAAAAGAACAAAATAACTTACCTGTCAGACAGAGGTTTCAGTGAGCAGCAAAACAG